TTTCTTCACTACCTTCTTTTGGAGCTTTTGTAGATTCCTTTCCGTGTCTGCTGTCATCACTGTGTCATCTGCATATCTAAAAAGACGAAATTAAAGAACTGGGTTTCTGAAGATTGCCTTGTGCTATTCATACATTTAAAAAAAAAAGGTTGCATAAACATTTGCCAAGTTTAACATAGGGACAACACAACTGTCAAAATCAACAGAAACACAGTGAGAATCGAATTTAAAATTACCTTGCTAATCGTAGCTGTAATGAAGCACCCGGTAAAGAAAAATGTGTTCTTCTTTTATTTGCGTGCTCTTCAAGGAGTAGGCGATTATATCTCTCCACACCCTCCTGTCTTTTTTAGCTCTTAATAAGTTTTGTCTTTTGCTATTTCTCCCAGACCATGTTCTGCCATCCACTTGCTCAAGTATGTCACGCGTTGCTTTCCCCTGTCCATTTTTCACTCTATCTGTCCTGTGAGTATCAGATTTTCCAAGCCCTCTTTCCTCATTACGTGTCCTAGAAATTTCAACTGCCTCATCCTGATGTTAATTATAAGTTTCCTCTTTGATTTCATTCTCTCCAAAACCTCGTCGTTACTCATATGTTCGACCTTAGCATCCTTCTGTAGAATAGAATGTTATAATGTGTTATAATGTCATTATGGAGTACTGCTGCTCTATATGGGCAGGAGCTATTTAGTTTTTAATTTCCAGTCTCGATAGCGCGTGGATGTGCGGGTGGTGTAATGGAAAACGGCTCAGAATTGGACGTGAGAAAGACGAGTTCCAATTCCAGTTGGATTCGTTATATTCCCTTACGCGTAAATAACTTTGGGAAAGGAATAAATCCACTTCTTCTACCTCCTGCTAGGGGTAAATTAGGTTTGTATCAGTAAATCATTATTATCTCAAAAAATCTTACAATCTAAACATACTTTCTGGCTTTAAATAGCTTGCGAAGGGTTGATATGTCGTAAAAAACAAATCAATCAACCACTAAAACTATATTTTCTACTTTTCTGCTTTAGCTTTGACCTGACTTTTGATCGGTCAAACAGGACATGCCCATAAACTGTTGAAATCTTGTTCTTCCTCCTTCTTAACATTTCAATAAACTACTAAGTCTTCAAATGTAAATTTTCGTCAAAAGCTACCTAATATCGCTTGATAATGGAACAAATTTAAAGTTCCGAAGCATAGAATTTTCCGTGTCGCGATACAAAATATTTTTAAAGAAACTAATATTAAAATTTTATGCTCTACATTGTATCGAGCACTTTAAAAAATAATGCTAAAGAACAGTAGATTCTTAATCTGACTGTTTATTCTCTTTACATATATATATATTTATATATATATATTTGGGCAACAGTCATTGTTTTATACAAAATACTATTTTATATATTTCTGACATGGTACTGCGATTAAGCTTTTTTATTTCATTTTTATTTTAATGTCTAAAAGTTTTGCATGTCTAGGCGCTTTCGTTTATATATTTAGCCATTATCAGGGATGATTTTATTTTTACTTTTTTACTGAATATATGGGTTGTGTGTATATATCTAGAGTTATAGGGATGTTTTATTTTCCAAACATGGTCAGCACATTGTGGCCGTGTTCGTAGTAGATGTTATTGAATGTTGGCTTTTCCTTTTTTATCTTTTTTTAACATGTGGATGAGGTTATTATGCTTATATTTTCTACTAGTATGTTTTGGATAGAGTCTGGCAGATTTGTGTATATGTTTAAATGAATTCTAATGGAAGCTATGGTTGGGTAGGTGTAACGTAAGTCGTCTAGATAGGCATGTAGTAGTGCGACCGATGTAATTATTTATTAATTTGGTTCTTATCAGAAACACAGTTCCTTAAGGGGCATTTGAACTCAGCATTTTCAATTTAGTTTTATTTAATATGCAATCAACCTAACAATGGCCTAATGGATTATTTGATTATTAGTCGTAAGTTCAAATAATGGCTGTATTCACTTAATTTAACCTTTTTTAACATGGCGACTAAGGAAAACAGTCTTGTTACATTTTGTTGATCAAAATAGAAATTCGATGGATTATTTAGAATAGATGAGCACGTGTCTCGAATCTATATATTCATACATATTATGTGAAGTTAGGTATATAAAAAATAATTATATACATTGGATTTGAGAAAATTTGATGTTAAGAAACTAAATTGTGAGTCTCCTCAGCGTATATTTCTTTGTCGAAAAATAGTTTGGTCACATGACACTTGTTAAAAGGAAACATTGTCGACAAGAAGAAAGACCTATTTAGGTATCATGACAAATTCTCGAGAAATATAAGAGGTTGGCTAATGAGAGCCTGAAAAAGTGATCACAAAATGAAGGAAGGATTAAAAATGTCATAAAGAATGGTTTTGCTCATTAAGGACATGAAGTGTTCTTGAATAAGGAAGACGAAACAATTATTCTTCGACCTTTGTCTATGATGAAATTACAAGCCAAGGTTTGAACGTATTGACCGTGTTGATCACGCCAGATTATGCACTCTATCCCAGAAACATACATACACACACACACACACACACATATATATATATATATATATATATATATATATATATATATATATATATATATAATATATAAAATAAAAGGCTTAAACACTAATATTCCATGGTCATAATTTATTCCATTGGAATCGTAAATACGATCCAATTCATCAGACCTACAAATTCAAAAAAGAAAACAGAAAAAACAACTCCGGAAATAAAAACAGAATTTAGAGAGAGTGTAAGTATGAGGAGGAGGGAGATTAAACCTTAACAGAGAGAATTTTAGGAGAGATGGGTGGAAGGGTTTAAGTAAGAGAAATATATTTACCATTAATATTATTTAAGTAAGAGAAATATATTTACCATTAATATATATATATATATATATATATATATATATATATATATATATATATATATATATATATATATATATAGGGAGAGATAGAGAGAAAAAGAGTTTGGTTTGGTTTGTTTTACGGCATATCAACCTCAATGGGTTATTTAATGCCGACAAGATTTTTATTGCTGGATTTTTTATTCTACAATAATGTATAGCTGGTAATAAAATTTTTACAAAGTATTTCTGGTATTAAACCTATTTTACATTTTCATGGTGTTTTGACCACAGTTTGTGGGTTAACTATTTACCCATAGCTGGGACCCTAACAGGTGCTATCCACCTCGAGTCAAGGTGGACCAAGGAACATCAGCTCCTAAAACTTCCTGATCAGAGCCCTTGCTGTTGGACATAGTTTATCGCCTTATCCATATTTCTATGCAGATAGAGAGAGAGAGAAAGAGAGAGAGAAAGAGAGGGAGAGAGAGAGAGAGAGTGAAAAAAAGATAGACTAATGAACAGTGTGGACATAGGAATCGAACCTGTATGGTGACATCTCAATACATCTTTAAACGCTCTGTCTTCGATATTGAGTACTCCTTATTCATAAATATAGCAAATATTAAACACTGAACACGCACACACACAAATATGAGAGAGAGAGAGAGAGAGAGAGAGATAACGAATAACACCTTCTTTTCGAACTGAGATGGATGAAACTACGTGGAGTAACTGAGTGGCCATCATGATCACCAGACCGAAAACCACCAAATTTTTCTTTCGAGGGGTGTACTGAAAGGTCTTATTTACAGAGTCAAAAAGAAAACAATTCCTGAATTGAAATAAGCAATTTTCTGAAATTAATGTAGAAATGGGTCAAAATGGTTTGTAGAAGTGTTGCTGATAGAGTTCAGCGTTGTATTGAACATGAAGAGAATCATTTTGAACATATTAAACAGTTTGTTAAACATAAATCATGTTGTTTTCATGTGACAATACTTATAAACCTTCTTAACTTATTTTTGTTCAGTAAGAGTTAATAAATTGAAAAAGTCGTTACTTTGTTCGCACCTTATATATATCAAACGACACATACCTACGTTATAGAAATCCTAATACTAAGCCCTTGTATATACAGCCTAAGTCAAACCACGCTCCACCCATAATTAAGCATATATCCTCATCAATAGAGAATATAATCAGCATTAACTCTGCTAATAAGAAATATTCCAACAACACAGTATTTTTTATAACGCAGCCTTAAAAAATAGTGGATACAAAAATGCTAACATCAATTATAGAAACAATTGTACTAAACAAAAGAAAAACATATATATATATTAAAATCTGGAGTATTTGCTGGTTACACAACCCAGGTTTCAACCATAAACGTTTTTTTTTTAATTTTTTTAATATTACCTACTCCACATGTTCAATTTCTTCGAATTTGTGTACGGAGCATTTTTAAAATATCCGGTCGCTGGTTTGATGGTTCTGCTCAACAGCTTTATCATATATATATATATATATATATATATATATATATATATATATATATATATATATATATATATATATATTAAAAATATTATAATAATATAATTATATTATGATTTTTTCTGGTCGGGCCGAGGGTTCTTATGCAAAACACCGTATAATCCACGTGAGTAGTCCTCGCAAAGAGTAGCAGTAAAGTCCCTACTACCTATGGTTCGGGCACACAGCTTTGTTTCTCCAAACTTAGTGGTTAAGTCACACACACACACACACATATATATATATATATATATATATATATACGTTTGATGAAAATTTATCGGCACAATTCACTTCCCAAAACTGATCACTCAGCATTTATTTGTATGTAAACTAATACCTCCTTAGTTCATCGCCTCTGGCAATTTTGTGCACAATTCCGAGGCTATCAACAGTGGGTAGTTCAACGAGAGACGGTGACTACAGCGTGTTTCGCCCGGCTGCAGGCTAAATCTAGACTGAACTATTAGCAGTATATCGAGAGTTGATTTGCAACCAATACACATGGATGGAGATGGTTAGCTTGCGTAGAGATCCTCCGACCACACTGGTCATTGAATTGATGATGATATTCATGGGTCGTTGTCGGTCCGTATTGAAGGATGGTTGACGAAACTACCCCCCTTAAACGCTCTCTTCTGTCAACCGTAGATCTTTAGTAGGCAAAAGCAGTCATCTCTTTCTGAATGTATTAATGCGAGATAGATAATTGTACCTAAGTTGTATTAGGTTGGTGCAAAAATAATGACGTAATAATGTCGTTTTTTGACGTTAAAAAAATACGTCACAAAACGACATTATTACGTCATTATTTTTGCACCAACCTAATACTTTGTAATTTTTTTTATTTATTTATCCACAAGTCAGTCAGTTATGCGTCATGCGTGATACATGACTGACGAGGCAGAATTTTTCCCGCAGCAGGTTGCCATTTCTTTCTGCGGTAGGCCAGTTGTCATCCGAGGCTATAGAACCCAATCTGTCCTGCTATTTGCCCATAGCTAGAGGAGAAAAGAGGATTCATACCTTTCCCAAGGCTATTATGACGTAAGTGAAAGAAATGTGTAGCATATTGTATCTTCCATATTACTAGACATTTCGATAATTGTATGTTACGCACTGTATTGTCGATTATCTGGATACGTCCGGTTCACGCTCCTCTCCGGTCTTTTGAACAGGGGTAAAGGTTTATCCCTTGTTTCCTGTCTAGGATTGGGTTTCCAGTTCCTTCTAAAGATCTTTTTATTCTCTTTCACTTCCAATGGCCTCTTGCGTCTTAGTGGTATTATTCATCTTCCTTTTAATCTGTAAGCCTTTACCTAGTGTGGCTGTTGGGCCTTCTACAGGGTGAACATCATTGTTAAAAATCATGTTCTGGATTATTCTGTCCTCAAATATATCAAGCTTACTTCTTTTCTAAATGAATGGAGTTTCCCTAGCAGTTCAAACAGATCTTGTGTCGTAAAACATAATTTCTTGTGTAAAAAATTCCGACATTAATTCTTTTTTTGGCTGACCTAAGAAAAACGGTAAAAACAGAGGAAGATTAATTATGATTTAGGATAATTTTCGGAAGGAATAATATTGGAGCACTGTTTATTCAGATTAAGCTGTAGAGAGGGAAATAAAAACTTTTGAAAGATTATGTTGCGCCACTCATGAAAGCGTAGGGAATTTCTTTGCTTTGAATTGTCAGCATTCAAACATTTACCTAGATTCGAACTCTGACGATTGACATTCGCAATGAATACCCTACTTTTTTCTTCGCCGCTTCCACGAAAATTAATTAGTGTTTGGTGTTCGATTTTATTTCTGTTTGATGATGTTCGATTGAACAATCTGTCCATGACATGAATTTGTGTGTATGAGGGAAGACTTACAGAAAACTCTCTCTCTCATTCTTTGTCTTTTTTCTCTCTTTCTCTCTTTCCCACTCTCTCTCTCATTCTTGATTTTCTCTTTTTTTTCTTTTCTTTTTTCTTTTTTTCTCTTATTCATTTTCTTTTCTCACCGTCTCCTTCTCTCTTGAAAATTCTGTTTTCTCTGTTTTTTCTCTTCTTCTTTTTCCCTTCGTCTCTTCACTGTATTTTTTTTTACCGTTTTTCACTTTCTTTTTCTCAAGATATTTTCTCTTCTATGTGTTTCTCCTTTACACTTCTCTCTCTCTCTCTCTCTCTCTCTCTCTCTCTCTCTCTCTCCCGTGTCTCTCTTTTTTGGTATATATATATCTCCTTCACCTTCTCACAAGTCTCTCTTTCTCTCTCTTTCTCTCTCTCTTTCTCTCTCTCTTTCTCTCTCTCTTTCTCTCTTTCTCTCTAGTTGTCGTTTTTTTCTTTTTCTTTCTTTCCCGTGTCTCTTTTACTCACGTCTTTCTTTTTTTATCTCATTCTATATTTCTCAGACTTTCTCCTCTTCTTTTTCTTTATTCTCACCTCCTCCTTCTCATATGTCCTCCCCACCACACCTTTTCTTTTCTTACTCTGTTTCTTTCTTTTTTTGTCCTTCTTCTTCTTCTTCTTCTTCTTCTTGCTTTTTTATTCTCTCATTTTCACTTTGATGTTTTTTTTGCTTCTCTCTTAGTCTCACTTTTACTGTTCCTCTTATTTTCTTTCTTTCTTTTCCTCTCGCCTTTACTCGTCCCTTCCTTATCTCCTTTATCTCCCAACTTCGTATTTTTGTCTCTCACTCTGTATTTCGTCTCTCTCTTTATTTTTCTCTTCTTTTTTTATTTCTTCCACTCTCTCAGAAAATTCGGTTATTTATCATCAACATGCCATTTCCATCGCGTTAGCAACAGAAATAAAAGACGGAGTATCTCGTTTTAAAAATCACGATCTTATTTTTCTCATTGAACCATTGCGAATGCTGTCAATTGGGTTAAGCTGAGATGATGTGTTTTGCGATATAGCAGCTCATTTTGAGGTATTTAATGTAAAAATCTTTTTTCTTATTACACTCCAAATTGTCTTGTTTATACAGGAAACCATCGATTAGTGCGGCTAATGTACATTCGTAACTATAAAAAAAAATCAATTTTTAATCATTATGGTTAAACTGAAGAATGTTTTACCACACTAATTTGCGTATTATGTATGTACGAATTTTGGTATGTAAATTTTTAACGCACTAATCGAAAACACATTAATCGAATGCGCATTAATCGAGGAATGACTATACGTTAGTCAATAGAGGAATATTGATCGTTTTTATACTTGAGTGTATAGTTTTGCATTTAAATCCATTGGCTCTGTTTATTCTTGAGTATATAACTAAACATGTTTTTATACTTGAATCTAGAGACAAGCATTGATCGCGTTTATATTTAAATCTATAGATAAACATTGGCACTGTTTATACTTGAGTCTATAGACAAGCATTGATAGTATTTGTAATTAAAGCTATAGGTTAACTATAGCCCTCTTTATACTTGAGTCTATAACTGAATATTATTTGTATTTGTACTTAAGGCTATTGACAAGAATTGATCGCGTTTACATTCATATCTATATTTAAACACTGGCCCTGTTTATATTTGAGTCTATAACTAACTGTTAGTTGAGTGTTTAGAAAAATTTGATCTCGTTTATACCTAAATATATAAGTAACTATTTGTGGAGTGTAATGGGGGATCTTGTTTACAAGGTCAAAAAGAGAACAATTCCCGCATTAAAATAAGCAATTTCTGGGAGATTTTCTAAAATTAATGTAGAAATGTGTCAAATGGTTGGTAGATGTGTTGCTGATAGAGTTAAGCGTTATATTGAACACGAAGTGAGACATTTTGAACATGTTAAATAGTTTATTACCATAACAAGTTATGTTGTTTTCATGTGACAATACTTAAAAAACTTTCAATAAAAGTTAATAAATAGAAAAAGCCGTTACTTTTCCGGATCTATATATATATATATATATATATATATATATATATATATATATATATATATATATATATATATATATATATATATAAAAGTAAAAAAGTAACGGCTATATATATATATATATATATATATAAGGTGCGAAAAACGGCTTTATATTTATATATATATATATATATATATATATATATATATATATATATATATATATATATATATATATAAAGGTCCGGAAAAAGTAACGGCTTTTTCTATTTATTTAATAGTTAAAAATATTGTGTACTTTTTTCCGTACCTTGCCTACCGAACGCTCCTTTTGTGACCGAGTCGGTTGAGGCACGTCAGCGTAAATGACGGTTCCGTATAGGATGCAGGTTCGAATCCTTTCAGAGGACGAATATTTTCTATGAAAAATGTCTTTTAATAAATAAATTGTCGGACTTTGTCCATTTCTTAATATATATATATATATATATATATATATACAATAAAATAAAGTTAAAAAAAAATAAAAATATCAATAAGAACACCGGATTACATATCTTACTGTTCTTTCTTTATATATATATATATATATATATATATATATATATATATATATATATATATATATATATATATATGTACTTGAGGCTATAGACAAGAATTGATAGCGTTTACCTTTCTATCTATATCTAAATATTGGCCCTGTTTATATTTGAGCCTATAACTAATTATTAGTTGAGTCTATAGATAAAATTAAATATAAATATATAGGTAAGTATTGGCTCTGTTTATACTTGGATCTATTGGCAAAAATTGATAGTATTTTTATTTAAATCTTTATGTAATCATTTGTCCTGTTTATAATTGAGTTTACGAATATCAACACGGGATGTGACTTTTTATGGGGAAAAGTGTACTCCTCTGCAGTCAGTGTAATCTTGGTACTGACAACACGGGAAGTTGTCAGCTGGACATTCATTTGGATCTATCTACATTATGCCATACATCCTATACATCCTGCTGATTAGACGGCTGGCCGTAGATTTATTTTGACCCTGTGAAAAGCAATGCTAAGATTAGTAAATATTTACGCTTATTTGCCCATGCCATTCTTGCACTAGCGAAATTAAAAGTTACATCGATAAAAAAATATTTAATACGTGTAGTTTATTAAATAGTAAGGTTACAATGGTTAAATTAGAAATATCCTTGAGTAGAGAAAGCTTTCTATTCATCACCTAGAGGTCGATTTTGATTGATTTGGCGGGCGAAATACTCTGCCAATGGAAGTTAAGCCACAAGTGCTTACAACTTCGGTATAACGTCATCATTATACAAGAATAGCTGGATTTTGAGTCGATTGCGTTGATGAAGCAGTTATTAATGCCATAAAAATGGTTTTATTCCAATTTGGTCGCACGCGTACGAAGCAAAAGAATAATAATAATAATGATTAAAAAAAAACGATCGAAGTGTCTTCACAGATATCTAACACCAATAATGTTAATTTTTGTGGAGAGGTTCTTTTTATTTTTGCTAGCGCGCATGCGTCAAAGAGAAAGATAGATATTCAGAAAGGGAGGAAATTGATTAACTGAGAGGAGAGTCAGAGTGGAAAGAAAAGCGTTTCCAATATTGTCGTACTTATTGTCTCAATCACTTGTGGGAATAACACTCGAAGCTAAATTTTATTCCATTATTATTCATGGATTTTAAGAGCTTATCTTATATGTAAACAGAAACTGGGATTCATAAACTTGAAGAACATTTATTTTATTTTATTATATTCTATTTTTCTGAAAGAAGTCAGAAATCGTCCAATAGATTCTTTGTGCTAATTTGCATATCGATAACAGAACGAAGCCTTATGAATATGTATGAGACGATTTTTTTCTTTTTATTCTCAATTCTAATTCTTTTTCGATGATAGCCGTATTGAATTCGTACCGAATGACGAGGTAATTTTGTATGCAAAATGTGCTTCTCACTAAAGAAATGATTGTTCCGTATTAATTTGGAATCTGACGAAAATCGTGCTTGCAAAAAAAGAATAATATCAGAAGACAAGTCTGGAATTCATATTGCCTAATGTAGGAATATATTGCCTAATGTATGAATATTGCCGACCGTTCTTTTGTAAGAATACTGAGGAATTACCCGACACAAAGTGATGGCTAAGTGGTTAATAAGTAAAATCGTGAACGCGATGTATGTTGCTTAAGTCCTGGTGTGTTATACGTCTTTATTATTATTATTATTATTATTATTATTATTATTATTATTATTATTATTATTGCAGTCATGTTTACCTTTTACAAGCCAATTGAGTTATAAGGTTACAGAGTAAGAGACACGACCCCAAGCAAGGAGATAATGCCATCAAGATGCAAGAGGCAATCGGAAGTGAAAGGGAAGGAAAAGACTCTAGAAGGAACCAGAAACACAATCCTAAACACTAAACAAGGAATTAACCATTAGTCCTATTCCAAAAATCCGGATTCTTCTAAAACCTATTTCAACTCTATACTTCTAATGTCGCTCCCTAAAACTCTGAACATTTATTCACAATTTATTTGCTTTTTTTTTCTACAACAGGAGTAGATTGGTTATCCTATCGTCAGGAATAAAGGTGTATCCCTTTTAATGTGTAGTACTGAGTTTGTACTTCCCTCTAAAGTTTACTTAAATTCTATACGTCTAACGCCTCTGCCTAAATGTCTGAACATTTATTTTCCATTTATTTACTTTTTCATTCAATAGGAGCATATAGATTCACCTGTCGTCCGGTTCAGACTCCTCCCCTATCTTTTGAAAAGGAGTAGAGGTTTATTAATTTTTTTTTCCATTTTCGGATGTGGTTTCCAGTTCCTCGTAAAGTCATTACTTTCTCTTTCACTTTCAGTGGTCCCCATGTGTTTTAGTGACATTATCACTTTACTTGGGCGGTGCCTTTTATTCTGTAACGCGCTACCTCGAGTGGCTGTTGAGACTTGTGCAGGGTGAACATCGTTGCAAAGAATTTAAACAATTAACTAAATAAATCCCTTTTTTGCTGCGTTTGCTATTTGTTGGGCCTGTCAAGGGTCCAAATAGAGACTGAGGTTTGTTGATACTGTCTCGGTAAGTAAACTATTTATAGGGGAGGGGCACAACTAATTACTCATGCAGTCGTTTCCCTTCATGCCACTGATGAGTGATATTTTCTATTGATAAAAATATGCAGGGATTTACAGATGATAAAAGCGTAAGGCTTATCCGCGCCGAATATGGAATCGGTGAGGTAAATTAGAGTTCCGGCCTAGTCTGATGTATTCAGTTTTGCACTAATGTCTTTGGAAAAGGCATGAAGCCATCTCTTCTCCGAACTCCTAATGGTCGAAGAAATAGCAGGGTAGATTAGGTTCTCTAGCCTTGGTTGGCAGCCAGTATTGAAGAAGGACGCAGAAAACCACTCAAGTATATTTTCCTTGAAAGTCATAGTAATTGACATATAATAAAGTGGGGGAATTCGTGGAGAGCCATATTCGTATAAGTCTGGCCGATACGTCTTCAGATCGAAATTGTGAATAAACTGTTTGTTCAGTTGTTTTTGCATATATTTTTTCAGCGTACTTTTGGCCATCTTAGTCACTTTTTAAGAATCATGTGGTATCTATAAAAATACCAAGATGTAAGAAACGGAATATTGCCTGCCACATAGACACCACATGGTTCTTAAAAATGACTGTGACCTTAGAAAGTAATTGCACAAAACAATTAAACAAACACGAACTTTGAACAGCTTATCCACAATTTCAACCCCAATAGACAATATCTTATTTGAAAATAGGAAGAATACAAGAAAAATTAAACAAACAAACCTTATCGATTTTGAATGAATACTTACTGCCTGAATATACCTTGGGATCTGTCAACAAATCTCTTAGGTAAAATCCTCTTCGTAAAGAAAATGTTTTAAA